GAAACAACAAACTGCCCTCGACACCAAGTATAAACGATACCAAAAAAAAAAAGGAAGAAGGTTTTTATAACATTATAGAAGAAAGTAGATAAATTTAATAATTATCAGTAGAACAGATCACAATGACTAGATATTAATTGTTATATTGTTTTTTAAAACTATGGCCATTACAAGATGTAATATATTGATACTCCCATGTAAGACCATGTTGTATTTTGTTCTTGTTTGTAACAAATTACACAGAACATAAATTAAGTTTAATGTCATTTGAGGAAAAAAAATGTAATACCATTTTAGATAATTATAGATGTATGTGTATATGACTTTATCACTGTGTATCTTATAATGTAATTTGTACATATGTCATTGTTGTATCACCTTTCTGCTTTGGTTACTTTTGATGTAAAAAGGAACAAAAAGAAAAGAACGAAAAAACAGAACTTGAAAAATACTAAAACTTTAGAAGCATAAGGAACCAATGCAATTAAAATATAATACATACATATCATTTTGTTTTGTTTATCTCAATAATCTTGAAAAACAATATATAAATAACATCTGTTTTATATATTTTTTAAATTCGTAAACAGTGTGCTTTTGTGTATGAAACAGGTGTAACATATCATAGTAAAAATTTATCAAAATTGATATTTAGTAACACACATGATAATAATTATTCTTTGTCCTGATTTGGAAATTGATTTTTTGTTTATTTACGACATCTAATGGTAAGCACCTCTAAACATAAATACTATGTTTATCAATTTTAAATAAATAATTAATGTATATCATCAATGGATTGAAGCGCTAATTCAGGTTTATCGTAACCAAGTTCTTCTAGTGTGTTGACACCTAATTCATCTAAAGTGGGTCTGATTTCTTGCAGAATGTAAGGATAAATTTCATTAAGTCTGTTTCCACATTTGTCCTTCACAATTTCCAAAATCCTGATAGCAAGAGCAAAATCGTTCAATCGTCTGCAGGCCTTTAATGCCGCGCAAATAATAACTGGGTCAGGTACAAGATCCATGCCTGAAAAAATGATCATTGTTATAACTATTGCAACATCTCAATCTGGCTGTTTAAATGTACAAGGATGTTCTAAAACAAATTCATCTGAACAAAAGAATGTTACAAGTTTGACTTAAGTTATTTGGTATATGGAATAGTTAAATGATTGAAGATCAATAATTGTAAAACAATATATAACTGTGTAAATACTGACCAGCCAATTTGTTCCAAACTCGGCGAATTTCCCAATGATCGATATTTGGCCGACTTAGATAATTTACGTATTGCTTGTTAAATTCCTCCTCACTTTCCTCCGGCTCGTCGTGCGAAGCACGGATATTTTGACTTACAGCTGCAGTGCGTGGTCGCAAACAACTTCTTGCGATATTATTTGCTTGTCTTCCTACAAATCGCAACATTCTTTTTCTTTTTTAGGAAATGTGATTGAAAATCGAATAAACCTGACGGCAAAGGTGCACGACTGCTTTCTTGCGTAACTTCAACAGAGGACGGAAATTTGCTTCAAATTCAATCCAGGCATTTCTGCCACTCTAAAGCTAGTAAAATTCTTCGACCTACACATTTACCGCGTTTTTCAATCGTCAAATGTTTTTGTGTTGCTTTTAAATTGCTGTATATATTTTTAAAGATGTTAACTTAAACAAAAATATATATATACAATATATATATATATATATAATTTATTATTGAGTTCTTTTTAAATTTAATTTTGCAAAGATGAGTTGATAAAATTTAGAAAAGAATTTATATTCACATTCATATTCATATATTCAGATTAAATTTTTCACGTCATCGTGATAATAGCACTATTATTACTGGTTCAGCTACATTTTTTTAACAATTCTATGTATACTTTATTTACACGAATCGAGTTTTATTATATATGCACGCACGTTCGTGACGATGCCATTATGTATATGAACATACTAGTTAAAAGATCAGGGTCGATCGCAAATGTATCGAATGTACAGTAATATATTTTGGAAAAATTGTTGATGAACGGTGGAAAGGTATTTCAATTTTAGAATTATGGATTTCGAGTACAATCCTATATGGTTGTCTCAGTATGCAAGGTTTTGTAATTGTAGTTTACAAACTAGCTGTCGTTGCGGAGAAAGTAACGGTAAGATAAGAAAATATTAACATTAATGAATATAGTAATGACTCCTTGTTTCGTTAATAAGGAACGAATAATTTAAGTTTAATTTTTTCAAAAACATTATTTCGTCAAAGTTCATGTAAATGTTGTGTTTATGTTTATGTTTAGTACATGAATGGACATGGGACAAAGAAAATGCTGCATACACCATTATTTTGTCAGAAAATAATCTAGAAGTTAAGTTTCACAATGGATACAGTTATGGTACAGCAGCTGTGAGAGGTACAAAAGTACTAGAAAAAGGAAGGCATCATTATTGGGAAGTTAAAATGCTTACTTCTATCTATGGGACAGACATTGTAAACATCTTTTAATAGAAATTAATTATACGCAACAATCTAGAGTTTCTTTTCACTAATAATATGACATTTTCAGATGGTGGGTGTTGGAACCAACAAAGTAGATTTGAATAGTACAAAGCATGTCTTTTGTTCCTTTCTTGGGCTTGACCAAGAGTCTTTTGGATTTTCTTATCGAGGATATATACAACACGCTGGTGAAAAACGTAGTTATGGCCCTTGTTTTGGGCAAGGTAGCTTAGTAGGGATATATTTGGATACATGGAGAGGCACATTAGAGTTTTTTCTTAACAGGAAACCACTAGGTACTTTTATAATGTTGCACATACGAATGTACAATATTTGGTACTTTCTTATAATGGATTTGTGATTCAGGTATTGCTTTTACTGGATTGAGGGATTTAATATTATATCCTATGGTGTGTTCCACAGCTGCACAGAGCAAAATAAGATTGACTTATAGCTGTTCGGTGCCAGTTTCTTTACAAGTGACTTGTTTGTCAGTTTTGAAATCATCACACAGAGCATATTTATCAACTATGTTTCCTGGATTACGGTATCTTACTCAGAGCATTTTTGCAGATATACTAAAAACTCATTCAAGTAAGTTAGTTGCAAAGAAATGTAAATAATTTGTGATATAAATATTGTTCTTTTTTTTTCAGACAGTGACGATGAGAGTGACAAAGATGAACTTAAATTTCTGACAGATTACATGATTTTAGATGATTTTGATTTTGCACTAGTGGGTATGAGCAGAAAGAAAAAGAAAAAGTGTAGATGCGATGATTATCCTACATCTACGTAATGAGTTGTAAAATAAGTTATAAAATTTTTTATTTATAGACAAAAATAATCATTGGATGTGTGTGTGTGTGTGTGTG